TTGTAAGGTTTTTGTATTGTAAGTTTAGTGAAAGGTGTTCTATAAATTAGCACAAATGTAAACATTCTTCCTCTTTTGCCGTGGTTGTTTCTTTTTTTCCGTGTGATTTGAGGGAACTTTATATTCTAGAAAGAGTCCGTGGTTCAGTTTTTTATGTCCACGCAGTCCACGCAATCTTATCCGCTACTGATTTATCAATGGTATCCTTCATTATTTCAGCAAAACTCGCAATGGGCTTCGCCAACCTGTGATTCTCGCATCCCCCATTCGATTCAAATTCGGACCAGGATCCCGATCCTGGTAAGTTTCATCGCATGATTAGCCTGTTTTTTTTTCTTCTTATGTATGATTTTTGTGAATGTTTTTCTTTTTGTGCCGCTTTATCGAGCTCTTGGCGTGGTACTACTCTGGCTCTTGAGAAATTACATCTGGAACCTCGCGCAGGGATCATCCGATTGAGGGGAACCCTATATAACCCTGCCCCTATCCGACCGTTGTCGCGGCAAGGTTACCATTTGTTATAGTTTAGTGGTGTCTACCCCTCTCAACTAATGCTTTTGAGAGATGGTGAGCAGGTTGTGAAGGGCGGAGGGGGTCGTTTTGACATCGCCATTTCACTCGTCCCGATGTTGTGTGCTGATGCAGAGGCATTTGTGCATGTTGAGGTACTTGTACAGTATAATTAGACGTGTTAGTGGCCATAAATTAGAAAATAAAAGTCAGTTTTCTCTGCGACGCTGTGAAGCGAAGCTCACCTTTTGACTTTCAAGTACTAAAACAACGTAAGAAGGCAAAAACTTGACATTTAGACGTTACTTTTGGGTAAAGACCCTCCCCACATAACCGAATACAGAAGGAAGCATCAAATCGCATGAAAAAGGAATAGCGTGAGGGAATGATGTTGGTGGTGTCGGAAAACCGACAGCGCGTTTCATTTTTTTTTGCCATATTCCACTGCTAATGAGTTGAGTTGGCTGAATACTCCCATCTAGGACGCTCGTCGCTGCATCTCGTTTTCATCCCACCATTTCACTTTTTAACCGTCGATTAGGGAGAAGTCTAATGATAACTGTATGTACTGATGCATGTAAAGTAGGCTTAGTATGCTTTCAAAGCGTCTATATTGCCATGAAGGCGCAGTTCAGCGACAAGGGGGGGGGGGCATTTTGCACTTTTGCTACTTCCCATGGACTTGCCGAGCCATCAAGTAAAGACCTGTGAAATCCTGTAAGCCGCGAAATGATACTGGCCAAAATTTGTGGAGACAACTTGTCAACTCCTGTAAAGGTTACCTGTCAACTCCTATAGAATTACCCAGATACCGTACAAATATCGTTTGCCATGACGGCTCGACGAGCCTGCTTCAGATTCGCAAGAGGTGAACAGGTTTCACCAGAAACTGAAACTTGTAAACTGGATGGAAATGTCCCCTCCCCCGCCGCCGAAGTGGGCCTGCCGTTTGTTCTAAAATAAACTAGAAATTTCTTGTGAAAGCTGTTTACGTTCACATTTATGCATGACTGTTTGGCAAAGCGCGTCCTATGGATGCATTGTAAGTGAATTAATAAGTGAATCTTTCCGAAATGTGGGTTTTATACCGTTCCCGTCTCTTTGCGCAATCAACTTTCGCTTCCGCCGGTTATTGACTGAGTTTGCAGCCTTTTTTTCAGCGTATTATGCTTACGTGTGTGTGCAAACGCATGTTGAGTTGGTCATCTAGAAATCAGAGGTCGTACCAGGTATGTTTTAGTGTTCTTTTCAATAAATAAAAACAGGCATAAGTCGGCCTGGGAGATGGCCAAAGGAGTTTGAAAGCTGAATTGCCAGTCATGAGATAAGCAAATCAGCCCAAGACATAAAGAAACTGCGTTTCGGGGTGTGCCGTCAAATGCCGCTTAAGTCAAGTGCCTTCAAAACCAGGTTCCTTTTGTGCTGAGAGAATAAGCTTTATAAGTTTTCAATAATCCTTACTATCGTGCCATAGGTACTGCTCATAAGCCTCGAAGCGTTTCGACTTATTCCTAATGGGGTACTGACTACGGACCAATCCTTTCTTGTATTCTGACGAACCACGTCAGACAACTGCTGGACGGTACGATTTTTGCGCATTTCTTGTCTTCTAAAGCTCTTCATTCAAGGAGAAATAAAGGCTAGTGGCTGATTTTCCTTTTTTTCAGAGCATTCCCTTCATTATGACACCATGCACTTGTTGGGTGAGTCGGTCAACGTATACGATGGACAAGTTGGCAGTCTTCCTATTGATTTGACAGGCGATTATTATTGTAAACTTTCCATAGCTCCTAGTAAGTCGTAGTATAGCTGTAGTGCTTCGAAGTTCTGTCTTTTATCCCTTAGCTATGAATCTGTTTTTTGTAATCTCTTCTCAGTCGTTAATTTTTGTGGCCCCTGCGATACTCCATTTCATGAGCCCCCCACATCCCTAACACGGCGGCACTCGATGGATTTAGTAAGTTTGGCTCGCTCATGTAGTTCTATACCCATGAAGTTATATGTATGGTTATTATTAATATTATTATCATTCTTATATTATTTTTATTACTACTATTATCATTGTTACATGTATGATTGTTATTATGATTGTAGTTCTAGCAGGATATTGCATCATTTTCATTTTGCAAACATAGTCTGAGCAAAAAATAAAGTTTATTAAATGCATAGTGCCTGTCTGCACTGTATAGTCACACAGTCCTATACTGCGCAAGGTAGTAGGGTTACACTAGCTGGCAGTGAGGTGGGAATGGCTGGGGTTTTCTGATGGAAATCCGCTTGTTTTCGCACCGATTGATAATGATTAACCAAGGCAGTTGGTAATAGCTTCATTGGGTCAATTATAAACTGCAACAAACAGAATAACAACAACAAACAATTGAATTAAAAGAACCGGCAGTAGTGCAAAAGTCATGAGGTCAAGCCGTATGAAAGGAGTAGAAATACTGCTACCAACCTGATGAAACTAGTGCCTGTGATGTAGAAGGTTTGCTTCGACGCGGTCGGGTTCTGTTTTTCACCAGTTGCATATGCCTCTTCAACAAATAGTGAAGAACGCGACTGCACTACTAGTCTAAACAATCCCTCTATCACTGATTGGAAAGGCAGTCAACAAAGTGGAGTACCGGATAAGCAATAAGCAAGAATCAGGCAGGAATGCTAGTCGAAGCGAAGTCCTCTGGTGTCCTTATCGCAATGGAGGCAGCCTGATTCGGAGGTGTCGATGGAGAGTTGCGAGGAGGAGGGAGAGGGCAGGACGGAGAAGAGCTGAAAATAATGGAAGGTAAGAACGTGCTACGTGAAAATTCGAAGATTATATTTGATGTACTTAGATTTTGCGCTTTACTCGGTAAGGAGCTGTCCCCGTCGAGACTGAAGGATGTCAAGTGGTGCTCCTGTGGATCATGTGTGTCCCTAACACCTAGTGCGAGAAGCTTTGGCTTGTACGAGAAGCCTTTAAGAGAGGAAGTACCCTTGTGAACCTTTGATAGGGTTACGAACCAAAGTGAGGGAATCTGGTCAGTGCATTGTTCAGCACCCCTCATTTTACAAGGTCGCGCTGGACTGCGAGGTAATCTTCCTCTTATTCTTGCTATAAAAAGGATATTTGCACATGACATAGGTGCTTCGAGTCCTGTTGGTCAATCTGAGAGTGGAAAGGAAGAGGAAGAGACACCGGGTCGACAATGAGAACAGGCGAACGGTTTCATATTTGCAGCCACTATTGAGGTTATAAATGTGCATATTCAGGTGCTTGAGATACTGCGCGTACCGCGCTTTCGTTGCCTGGTGTTACGGGCACTTGGGTTTTCGGAAGAGATTCGAACTACCTGCTTGCGTAAGAGCTGCCATAATGGATGCTTTTCCCTCAGAGATGGTGGCGTACGTGCCGGTTTCAGTTAGAATTGCGACTTATTTCCTCTATTAATAAAGGATATGCGCGCATTCAATTGTGTCAGGACAACGCCAGAGAATCCGGAGTGTAAGATGGGACTGTCGATTCTTGTGTATAGGGCCATTTCTGAATGAAATTTATAAAACACGTTTCTTACCGAATCACAACTCGCAGTCGTATTCTTCTTCCGCATCCACAAGCTCCTGGACCCAAAGCGGAGAGTCACGATCTTTCTTAGCCTTCAGCGCTACAAGCCTTCCCTTGAGGACTTCTTTCAACACTAAATCTCTCCAGAGATGTTTGGGTTGGGACTTCACAACCAGAATGAGTACCTGTTAGACTCCGCTTGATCCGCTGCTCTCCTAACCCTCAACCTTTTCTCCCTCTATCTCGGCGCTGAGCGCTCTCAACGATTTATAGTCATTGTGGCCATCATTGTATAGAGCGGATACGTGGAAATAGGATAGAATATCTCCTTGCTGCAGTATATCCTATCCAACGCGTTTTTAGCCTCACATATGGAGTCGCGCTCCATATGGCTGGTCCTTCGTGCACATCTCTCTGGAAGATTCAGTGCAGGATCACTCGCGGACCTCTATACGCAAGACTATCCGCGCTCAATGTCTTGGGTCGAGGATCCATGGGTGCATGTGAACAGCCAACCCAGGGGCCTGTCAGCTCGTTCTGCAATTTATTCAAATACGATATGATGTTGCACAAATTACAGAAATTACAGACCTGCACCTAGACCTTGCGGCAATGGATGCAACACGCGAACGTACATCAAACACGTGTTGAACATGGCTTTGACATCGGCCCCTGTCTCTGCTGCACATTCGATGGCTTTCCACAGATGAGTTTTCACCTTCTCCGTCCAGACGTCAATCATGCCGCAGCCGGCCTTCTTACTTGCCTACAAATCAACGCATTACCTAAGTCACCTTCGCTGGGTTCCGCCTTGTCTTCCTACCTTCCTGAGCTCAGGTGCCAACATTTGACTAGTCCATCCCATCGTAATAATGACGGATAAGTACCGAGTCAGGCTCCAAAGCCCGTAGAAGAGAGCCCCTAGGGCACGGCTGCGATCAGTCGTCAGTGACGACACTTGAAGGCCGCATCCAACTATCCAGTGCATGAGACGCCTGATGCCCTCGATCTCCATCCGCGTACTAATGTTCTCTGGAATGGCTCGCATCGTAGATGTTCTAGTGTGGAGTCACTGTCGCCTTACCCGTCTCCGATCGATGGAGTACACCAGTATGGAGAACCAGTTTAGTACGCAGATCTGACAGCACAACTTTGCCTATCATAGCCGAGTATCCTCGACTATCATAGGCTCCATCGGCTGCCAGGTGGAGTCCCTCGCCCTCCTGTATCAGACTGTTAAGATTAAGAGAGACTGGTTGCACCAATAATGCACTATACCTCGTAACTTCTCTTCACCATGGATACAACGAACCGCTGATGGGCGCGGTAAACGGTCTCGATGGCTGGCTTGGTCCACGTGAAGACCTCGTAGAAGAAAGACTTCGAAAATATAGCCAGATCCATCTGACGGGCCCATCGCTCAAGCTCCTGAATATCCGACGAAAGATCAAGATCATTGTTAAAATCTAGCAGCATTTAGTACTGACCACGTATCGTAGTCCGGTAGTGATAGCGGACACAGCAGCCACAACGTTCCCTTTGAACTTACGTTCACTTGCTATGAGGAACGGCCCGCTCCTGACTTTCCCACCTTTTAGCACGAATGCAACAGCTGTTGCACAGATAACGTACCACGGCTGCAGTGCCTACTGCCTTCAGTTGCGTTCTGCCCAGTTCATGGCCACAACTGGGACAGAAACGGAACAACGTCAGCAGTAGAGCACCTTGCACGAGGTAGTATCTTTGCAAGTCAGCTGGATTCGTGGCTCCCAACACGGCCGTGGAATCGTCATCAGAATCGCAGGACTGTGGCATATAGTCAGGATCCTAAATGACATTCATAATCCAGGTAGGCAGACAGTAGGTACACTCCTTATCCCTAAGAGGAAGTAGGCGTGGCTTTTGAGCATGGTCTAGTATGGGCTACTCGTCACAAGATTGAAATTTCGGGTTGTCAGGCTGGGTACAGTACCCCGAAAATTGCGCGTGAAGTTAAAAATGTCGCGTCGTGAACGCACACAATCGGGCGCACCGTAATCGGTTTAGTTACCCAAGTTTGAGGTGCGTTTAATAGCTCCTGTTATACGGCTTTTGCATAACCGGCTGATGTACGTTTCATTTTCAAGCGTATGCCGAGCTTGCGGTGTGCAGCACGAGGTGGGTGGGAGCTGTGAGGTGAGGCCCCGAGGCAGCTACCTGACAGGCACAGGCAGCTGCCGGGTGGACGCCTCACCACGGCTTCCTCACCTGCCTCACGCAGAGATACCTAGCTCGCTTAGTCCAGTGCCCCGTTGTGTTAACTCGCTTACAGCGCCCGTTGTGTGCATTCACGACCAACACAATTAATCCCACGCGCAAATTCCGGGGGTACTGTACCTTGCCAGGGCACTCCATATTTCACGAAATCGTACCACGCCTAC